TGGAGAAATAATTAAGAACAAGAAAAAATCCTCCCAGGGTGTGGATCGAACACACAACCTCCTGTTTACTAGACAGTTGCTCTAGCACTTGAGCTACCGAGGAGCCGTGCATTCACTCACACCGTAAGTTTAGATGAGCTCTCGTTCTCAATTCTTAAGCTGTCTTTCACCTAAGCTCGATATTATAGGAATGTGACTCTAATGCTTGTCCGTAAAAAAGAATTCAAATACGTTCAATAGGTATACAAGCGAACGTCGATACACTTTAATCATTGTATCTATAGGCGTATATGTATAGATGGCGGTACTTTTTATACAAGCACTCTCTAATTTCTTTTTTCTCACTTTGTTCTGTTTAGTTGTTTTCAATTAATTTATTGTATCTTGCAATTGTTTTAATTCTGAATCAAGCTTTTCCTTTTCTTTCATTAAAAGTTTTTTTGTCATTGTTTCATCAAGTTTCTTTTCTTATCCTGTCTCTGTCGCTTTCTTTTGGCAATCCCCTATTCTCTTTCAGATTTAAGTTCTTAAATTTCGAGTTGCTCTTGTTGCCATTCTTCAGATAAAAGTAAACTATAAAAATATAAAAATATCCGGTGGCAAAACAAGTGTCTCTAGCATTATCTGTGGTAACTACTTGCGAAAACTATGTGTATTGTATCAATTCACTAAAATATATTTAAAAAAAATTAAACATAATTTAACAACAAGACGTTAAAAAAATTTCGAATTTTAAATATAATTTAACATTTTAAACATATCTAACCTTGATTTCGCAATTCGTGCTGTAGAGTTGTCGTTAACTGCCTGACTTCTAGGGAAAAAATGTTTTTACTAGAATCAATCGGTTCAGTCAACGCTGATTTGATGGCAGCAGCAATTAATAAAAGGTCTTGCACTAATGTTGCGATTCCTATAATATCTAAAAAAGTATTTACTGTTCAATTTTTACTTAATAAATAATCAGCTAATATTTGAAGAATGCTCAGTTGTATGTACTGTTCGGTAATAGGGTAACTAACCTTACTATCTTCGTCATACTCCTAATAAAAATAACAAGTAAGAACACTTGTGAATTACTATGAAAATAACATAATGCTTAAAGTGCATTCTTGAAACTACAATCAGAAAAAAATGGCTGTGAGTTTACTAATTTATATGAAATGAAGTCTTAATAATTCTAAAAAGCCTTAGAAATAAATGATAATGTACAACGAGACTTTGACAATCATACTAAGCTTTTTGAAGACAAACAAATTTTTGTAGGAGTTTTGTTAATAAATTCTGTCTGTCATAAAAAGTATCACATGTAAAAGAAAATTGAAAAGAATAAATTACTATGGCTGTTATGTGAAATATATAAATTACATGATGATCTCTGCTAAAATGACGTAAAATTTGGAAATGTGATGAAAAATAGATAATAAAAAATGCGAAGTCTTTTGTCATCCAAAAAAATGGTTAACATCTCATGTCTCTTTTAAAATATTTAGCAAGGAGTCTCATTCTAATAGTAAGAACGTTAAGTAAACAATACTTAACAAATGTTCATATTTCTCNAAACTTGAAAGGTAGAGACTTTGGGTAAAACCACTTTCGTTTCGAAAAAAAAAAATCTGTCGGTCTTAAAATTCCAGCCCCCGAGTAACGCGACATAAAGAACTTCGTTCTAAAAATATTATTTTGAAAAGGTTACAGAAAAAGAGACAGTTCCAGTTATCATAACTTCATTTACACACTGTTATTATAATTCGACTCCGAATTATCTATTATCACACGCGAGTGTTGTAGGGAGCATATTACCCTTAAATTTATTAAAAACGTATTTTGTGCCGTTAAAGATTCACTTTTACTTCTCCGGAACTAATATTGAGGGGTGTCTTGAATAAGTATTGCACAAAATATAACTTATGTATTTCGTTCACAAAAAAAGAATGAGGAGAAAAAGAAGAATATCAATTACACTCACAGTCCTTGCCGTTTAGTTTGCTGAACAACGTGTAGGAGTAGCAGTGTGTACATTAAGCAGAATTGCTAAGCACTGGCACCATGGTTGAAAAGTTTCAAAGACTTATTATATATTTCTTATAGTAAAAGGTAGCATAGAGGAAATTAAAAAGGTAGGTGTACTGTGACTTTTATGACTAGTGCACTGGAATCGTACATTGGAATAAAAGTGTTGGGAAATGATCAGAGCAAGTATGAGTGTTTGTATGTGTGTGGATGTACTTGGAGATAGAAGCAATATAAATAGGTATAAGTTAGTGTCTATAAAATGAAAATAAAATCAAACACAGGTAATAACTTTAAACGATAATGATAATAACGGTTCTAATAAGAGTTCATGAAAGTAAAGAAAAAATAAATTGCATTAAACAGCTGAACTATATACGTCACAAGACTAAATCTACCTATTTATAAAAACTAGCCTAAAAAGATTCTTATAAAGCAATCCACTGAGACCCAGCATGTCCAAGCCTAAGAGTAGTTCATGTAATAGGTTGTTCTAAATACTTGGAAGTTTGAGCAACGTGAAACGCACTGTGATAATATCAAGAAGATGCGTGTACTATTCTTAGGTCGAACACAGAGCAACGACAAGTATCGTATTTGTTAGTAGGCTTTAACTTTAGATGCTTTGTCAGATATATAAGCTGAAAACGCCTACGAACAGAAACAAGCAGGCATAGAGCCTGACTAATTCTGCACTTGTAAAAATAAAGTATCGCTAGGGACTTATAAACAAGTGTTATCTGATCAAATTGTCTATCATCCATCACATTATCCACACAGTATCATCAAAGTTGGATTACTAATACAAGTGTAATCTATCGGAGTGGCAGAAGAGAGTGGTCTGCCACAAACTGAGCAATTTTAGACAATCGTGTAGTAGCGTAGCAAAATGCACCCATAGCATTAAAAATGGCCTATCACCAAGCTCATACCTTTTCACTACCATAAACACTAATGAGCCTAGTACGATATCCATTTATCTCGTCCAGGAGCCGGGCCACGTCGTTAGCAGAATAGTGCCCGAGACGAAGAAGGTGGGCAGAGTAGGGTGGAACTCAGAGTTATCGTCACTCCCTTTGTCCCCAGCCATCTCTTGGCATCACCAGCTGCAGCCAGCTATCAACACATTGTAGCAGATGATAGGCAAATATGAATTGCAACTGTCCTATAAATAAAGACTATCAAAGATTTAATGTATAAACAAATGAATCTAATTTTTTTCATCAGAAATCAGTCGTTGGCCCCAAGGGCTTATTTGTTTTTACTTGCAGTATCGTTTTTTTAAATCATATTCTCTTTTAAATTGTTGACTCAGCGTTATGATGTTAGGTTTTACTTAACAGTATGTTAGTGTAACGTACGTTGAGCTGGCGTTGACCTATCGTTGACATTTATATCTTATGTGATGCAGTAGTAGCATATTTTATTCGTATCTTCTTCTCTTGTTTTTGTCAAGATCTTTCTCATGCGGTACCTTCTTAATTTTTGCTTGGCACTAAATTTGTTTGTCCAAGCTAAGATTGTTAATGTTTCTATCAATAAGAATTTTAAATCTTAGAATATTTAAACTAGAAAAAAAAGTTTTATCAACAACCATGATTTGCTTTACCTGATGATTTGATAATTTTGGTAAAGCCAGAAATAATTTTTACAAATAATATAAATTATAAGACTTTAAGCTTGCATTTACAAAATTTTAGCAATTTGTGATTTTTTTTAAATTAACTTACTTCTATGACCATTAGCTAGCTGTTGTTTGCGTGCATGCAGGCGCAAAATCTTACAAGGTTGATCACAACGATAATTCTAATGCTACACAAGAATACTTGTAGCGGTGATGGCAATAAGGCTGCTGCTCTTAACGTTGGAACCAACGTCAAAAGATCTTTTTTTATTGTTCCTCTTTCATTCTTTTTTTGGACGATTCTTCAATGGCGTGGTTTACTCTAGATTTTCTCACTCACCTTAGTTACTTAACATAGTCTCACGTTTGCTTTGAATGCACGCTTTTTACACGCAGCTTTTTTACCGAATTAAGTCTTACATTCACTTAAAAAGCGCAACATAACTCACTTTCTAACGTTCATGGATACTTTAGATCATTTAATTGAAGAGAAAAAGCAAATATCAGTATATGCAAGAAGTTTTTATACTCTTGCACTCAAGGACGACACGTCAGGTTGGGAATCCGAATGACCAATCAGAGCTTAACCCAATTACTCTTAATCGATATAATCACGGGCGTGGTCCACTAATTATGCAGTAATTGATGGTCTAACTGCTGATCTCTCGAATTTCATATTGGGTAAAAGTAACTGTTAAAATTATGTTACTATGTCAAGTAACTGTGTACGATATTCTTTATAGATATACGCAGTGGAGAATATTAAAATTATCGATTTTTCTCATTCTTGCGTGTACTAGTCCAAACTGATGTGTAAAATGAGCGTATTATAAAATTTTTTGAAGATTGCAATCATCGTTTGAGTTTTATGATAATAAATTGCTTCGAAAGGAGTAATTTATTCGTCACACGATTGCAGAAGCAGGTATACAGCTCGATGTTAAAAGATTGCTGAGAATTCGCTTTTCATAATTTTAGAATGAATCTTTGTGATTTAAAGTAACAAACGTTAAGTCAATGATATAGAATTAACGTGTAAATGTACGTAAAAAATTAATTGCTTGCTAAAATAATCTACGTTATTTAGCATATATTTTCTTAACCTCAAATAGCCTTTTTATATTTTTACAAATTTTTTAGTCATATCTCCAATTTCATTAAAAATTTGTCTGAAGAATCCGTATTTTTGCTCTAAAAGTGTCTCAGTACTTGATAATAGAATTTAAAAGTATATTTTTAAGCACTATAATATTATCATAAATCCTTTTTTAAGTAGACAAAAATGAAGATTTTAATTAAAGTCTATATATAACATAGAAAAAAATTCCTGAAAAATTTTTTCCTGAATTCTCTATATTTGCAGGGTGATTGTATACCAGAGCATGTAGGACCACCTGTGGCATGTTGTTGTATCAAGTTAATTGATGTCCCAGAAATGGAGTACTATACAGTCAACAACCAGGGTGAGATCTGTGTTAAGGGGGCCAATATTTTCGCAGGATATTTCAAAAATCCTGAACTATCGGCTGAAGCAATAGATGAACATGGGTGGCACCATACTGGAGATATTGGAATGTGGCTTTTGGTAAGTAGAATTATTTTTACGATAAAAAAGGTTTTAGTCATATTTTAATTAAACTTATTTTAGAAATACATAGAATTAAAAAAAAGTATTACATACAGAATGATTCTTAAAATCTAAGCTAACACAAGGCTTTGCTTTATCAAGTTTTGATAGTCTAGTATGTTTTTTAGGTGATTGTAGGCCTTTATTATTAATAC